TTACTTTGGTATTATTGGCATCCTGCCCATGAAGGCAGTTAGTTGGTACTGGTCTGTCTGACAAGTATTTATCAACCTCTCTGGTTATTTTCCCGGCTGTTCTTTCTTTGCCTCTTTGACATGCAAGCCTCACAAAAGGCGTCAAGAACAGCATTGATGTTTCTTAGCTTTGACCTCTCTGAGCATAGTGGCCTGATGTACCTGGGTTGTGGATCATTGGCCCTCTCTTCATTGTCTTCACTCTCCTCCAAAGACATAAATTGGATAGCATTGTGTAGGTCTAATAAAGCCTTTATTTTGGCTTTGTCATCTGGAGAAAGTTGTGCCTTGTCCAACACGTCTGTGTGATTCGTCAATTTCTGAACACCAAAAAAACTTATTTAGTCACAGTGGCATGACTACTATGATAAACATTTAATTAACATTTACGTTCTTCAGTAACAGTTTAGTCTGGTAAAATAGTCACCCTAACTATTTTGAATCTTTAGATTTGGTTCTTGCTCTTTACTCTGAGCAATTTACACTACAATCAAACCTTGCATATAAATGGAAAGGACACTGTTAACATTAAAAATGTCAAAGGGGGTAGGGTGTGGCCCTAGTGCATTCTATAACAATCATTCATTATGTATGCATAATACAAACGTGCAAAACATGTGTTGTGTTCTTAAAAAAATGAAAGAGCCTTGTGCCCTTAACCTGAAAGATCCAGGTACCCAGGATGAATGTGTTTGAACAAACTAAGACTTCCTTGTCGCCCAAGAGCAACAGTAATGCAACAGGGGCCACCAGGCACTGCCAAAGCACAGCTCTGTTGCAGGACAGGCTAAATAAATCACTAAGTGGATGACTTAAACTACACAGTAAAAATATTTGCACTGCAAGCATTAACAAAATAATTTACATGTATTTTACCTACCTTTCTAGCTCTCAAATTGGAATCTTGTCTGAACTCTGTGTTCTTCAAGTTTTCCATTTTACTGCCTTACCATATCTGCACGGGTACTTCTCTGACTCCAGTGCTGAAAAATGGCCCCTAGCAAAAGGAAAGCATGTTAAATGTGCAGGTCTGTAGAAAAGGAATTAAGAGTGCTTCTTGGTGTTGCTAAAAGTATTGTGGTTTGCTCCTGTTTTTGTTGTGGGTATTATTTAGTGGCTTTTCCATCTTTTGTATTTATGTCATTAGGGGATTACACTTGTTGGCAACACCAAGAAACTACAGTGGAACCCTGTTAACATGGTCATCAATGGGCCAAAAAAGTTTTGCCGTATTAATGGGGTGACGGTATTAAGGAGGGTTTGTTTACAAGAAAATGTATGGTGGTTTTTGCCAGGCGGCCAAAAAAAGTGGCTGTAATAACAAGGTGACTGTATTACCGAGGTGGCTGTAAGGCGGGGTTTCACTGTAAGAAATTCAAGAAACTTAGAAAAGTGTACAACTTACCTTTTAACTCTGTTTTGGGCCATTTCTTTTACCCAAAATTCCCCCTCACTTCATTAACCAAAATACCCTCAATGTTTTTGTTCTCCACATCAGTATACCTCAAAGAAATAAAGACAAAAAAAAATGTCAAATATTTATATCAAAATAATAATACATGTATTACATGTATCGTAACAGCCTCGTTCTAAAAAAAAAAAACTAGAGAGCTTAAAATCAGGCAGTTTTCTGGTAGTGCATTACAATGAAAAATATTTAAAAATGACGGTTGCTTTTATCATCGAATAAAGCCGTTATCCAAGTGCTTGAGGCACAAAACAAAATTAAAGTGTAACAATATAAAAAACTGTGTAATCATCAAGTTGATCTCCTTGTGGCATTTGTAAAATTGAAAGTATCATTAACACAAGCACCATTTTGTCCACTCAAAGAAGGATAAATAGAATAATTCCAACTTCCCACTTAAAGATGGGCACCTTACTTGAGTCAGTGAAGGTTGCTTTGTCATCGAATAAAGCTTTTATCCTTGTTTTCAAAGCTTAACAACAAATTGAAGTGTAAAGAAATAATTATTATATTCCTGACTAGTATTCTTGTTTATCTCCTGGTGACTGTTGCAACATTTGAAATATCATTGACACAAGCACTACTTTGTCCACTCAAAGATGGATGAATAGAATTGCAACTTCCCACTCAAAGATGGGCGTCTTACTTGTGTCAATGAAGGTTGCTTTGTCATCGAATAAAGCTGTTATCCTTGTGTTCGAAGCTTAACAACAAATTGAAGTGTAAGGAAATTATATTCCTGAATGATATTCTTGTCTATCTCCTGGTGACTGTTGCAACATTTGAAATATCATTGACACAAGCACTACTTTGTCCACTCAAAGATGGATAAATAGAATTGCAACTTCCCACTCAAAGATGGGCATCTTACTTGTGTCAATGAAGGTTGCTTTGTCATCGAATAAAGCTGTTATCCTTGTGTTCGAAGCTTAACGACAAATTGAAGTGTAAGGAAATGATATCCCTCTACAATCTTGTGACTTTTAGAACCTTTCTGCACCATCATATTAAACTTGTTATTGTGCATGTACACAAAGAGAAAAGGTTCCTTTTAACACTACAAGTCTCGTAACAAGCACTACATTTATTTCAATTTTGAACAATTCCCATTGGTAGTAAGGAAATGCACGTTGTCTGCAAAAAATTAATATGAACATTAAATATTATTTTTGTACAGGTTTATCCTTGTGATAAACATCTACAGTCTCAGAAATTGGAGTGGAAATGTTTTGTACATTTCAGTGTCAAGGAATTTTTATATAATATTTTTCTGTCATTGCTATTGGATTCCGTACTCCGTTCCGTGATTCCGTTTCCTCTTTCCAGATTAAGTATTTTACGGCTGCCATCTTCGCCATTAAAATGTGCATGCAGCAACTATGTCTTTATTGTAAAAGAAATCAGACAAAGACGTGCTTTACAGGCATATGCTATCAAAGAAACTACAGGCAACATACAAAGGTCAGATCTGTACGAAGCAACTCGCTGTCGCATGAAGCTCACATGTGAAACGATTTTTATGATCGACATCGATGAAATGCTCCCAAAGCTATTACATAGACTTAAATATGCCTCTATATATTTAAACAAGATTCAGAATGTACTTACGAAACAACAAGGATCCACAGTTTAAAATAAGCGTTCTTTCTTCTCAATGATGGTTGAAACACTCAGGGTGCATTCGAGTCGCGAAGAGTGAACACTGAACTCCTTCATCACCGCTTCCATGGGATTTGGCGTTTCGTTTAAAAAGTTTTTCGAAGTATTATTTCTCCCTGCAGTCTATCTCCGCAATCTATCACACTCTCCTCGCTTATCTTGACAAAAAAATGGTCCTGCATGAACAAACCACCAAAATGGAAGGCGAACCGACAGCGAAGAATGTTCAAAAGGGCGCGCGATTCAAAATCCAATGTGAAAACGAGGCACGCATGCTCGTAACACTCGCGCCCCCAGAGCGAGGCAAAATGCGTGCAAGCGTTATAATTTATTTGGCTGTTTCTAAATTGTTTCAAATTACGCGTCAATGTTTGGAGCGCTAGTAATTTTAATGACACATCTTTGAATCTCTGAAAAAAGGAAGACAGAGAGAATCATCTATCACTTTTCCAGTATTTACGACGTGTAGTTTAGCGCAGGCGATTATCTCTGTTCTTTCGGATATTTTAGGTCAATGCAATGATTCCTCATCTTGCCTGAAGCGTAATCAGTACAGTTAAAACAAATTTTATTATATGAAAAATATTAAAAATAGTGCTGTTGCCGAGAAATCCTTGGCAGCACATCGCCTACTTAAAATTAAATCAACCGAAGATAAAAGCTACCAAATTTCCGCAGAAAATTGTCTGCGGAAACGCGACTGATACGGCCTTGTACATTTCAGCCAACGGAAACGCTGCGGAAACGCGAAACGCGACCTCATTTTGCTCTTACGTGTTTCCGCCCCCCGGAAATGTGACGGAAACTTGAACCATCAGATTTCCGCAAGATTTCCGAAATACGGAAACGCCTTATTTCACCCTGTGTATGGTGTATAATCATTCAATAGAACGCTCTTAAGCAGTACTTTTACTTGGTGGGGGAGCCGACCCTATGGCGTTAACGTTTGGAAATCTCTCGGTACGGAAAGCGTGTTAAAACAAAATTTTGGGGACTATGAGCACTCCTCGTTTTATTTTGCTATGAAAATACTTCCCCTTTTCCCATCTGACTACGACCAAGAGACATAATGGGACAGTCCGCCCCATTATCAGGGGCACCCAAGGACAATTTTTGGAAAATATCTGTTCGGAAGACGATTTGAGATCTAGAATTTTCGAAATAATTGTTGTTAAATTTCTTGCTTGCCTGCCTCTCCTAGGATTTTCGAACCCCCCAAAAATGGTATAATTGCGCATTTTTAACGCATTCTAACCATAAAAAGGTCACCTAGAATTTTCGGAAGTCTTTTCCTGACTGAAATTTTCAAAAAGGTAAGTTTCGGATGACTAGACTTTCAGCTAGGGGATAAAAGTATGCATATATCTACCGTTTTTAAACGGTTAAAAATACTAAAATACGTTCAACATTGCTATGTTTAAGTGGTTTTGAACTATATTCTCGTTGGGTGTCCCTGCATTATGGCTCTTGCTAAGATTGAACAAAAAGATAACTTATTACAACAAAAAACATTGTCTATGTTGTAGTTAATTTTTTATCTCAGGTAATTTTTATTTCTCCTTTGTTTTCATTCATTAGCATACATTCCCATACCCAAAAACAAAAGAAAAACAAAAATTACCTGAGATAAAAAATTAACTACAACATCCACACAAGGTTCTGAAGATTGTTTTCTCAACTGCACTTGCTGTCGGTTCAGTTATTTTTTTTTCGTTAATTCTCTTTTTGCGTTTGACTTAGGAGAACGTAAGCAGTACTTCTGTACAAGAAAATAATTTTATTTGCTAAAAATTTACATCCACAATTCTGAGGTGCACGATGAAAAGTTTTAAAAAAATACTGTGTATATGCCAGGTAACCAGAAGGTTTACTGAAAGCTTCATGTATAAATAAAGCCATTCAAATGGTATAAATACTCTGTTATGGACCTGATTAGTCAATTAAATCCGATTATTGGTTGTCTGTCTGTTAAGCGGTGATATCATTGGTTATGAAGAGGCCCTCTTAGATCTGAATTTCAATATCGGTCGTTTTGGGCAGAATGCGACTGCTTCCTCCTCACTGTGGCAGTGAGGAGGAAGCTTAGACTTTCAAAAAAGTCCTTCGTCCGATTCAATATTGAGCGGGACGAAGGACGTCGACCTCTCGCGACTTCGTTGCTCTGTCGGCCGCTCGCCAAGAGGTCTAGAGTCTAGAGGAAGCCACGCCCCAGTCAGTATTTTACAATATTTAGATTGTCCTCGTCACAGTTTCAACCCAACTATATATCGTTAACTCGTTTTTCCCCATTGGGTTTGTCCTATGTTGCTGTTTCAAGGTTATGTTGCCGGTCAGAATTTTACCCTAACTCTCTACAAAGACCATGCAGTTTCTAAGACCCAGCAATAAACTACTGCTCTACAATTCCTTCAAAAATTTGATAATATTTTCTTTGGCTGAAGCGCATATCTTCTTGTCACCTCTTAACAGTAGAAAGCCGTGGAATGACTTGTATTCATGATGTGTCACAGGTACACCAGCTTCTTCTAAACGTTTCTTGTACAACAGTCCATCATCTCTGAGAACATCAAATTCAGCAGTGATTATCAAAGTTTTGGGTAAGCCAGTCATGTTGTCAGCCATTAAAGGTGACGTTCTGTAATCAGTAAGAGAATCAACAATTTCCTGAGGAATATCTTTTGGTGGTTCTTTCTGAACTTTGTCAACATCAGCATCACAAACACCAATGAATTTTGAATACTTTGTGTTGCAAAGATGCGCTGAGTGCTTGTTAGCACCAATCGGACGAGACATCCGTTTTGTACCGGTAATATAAAATGACCAAGCCAATGCCACTTCTATTTTAGAGAGAACAGCAGAACTGTTTTTTTGATAAGAGGGCAGTGTCAAATCCATGAACTGTAGTAAAGGATTTAAAAGGATCTGAAAAATAACAAGAGGCTTACTTCAGTTTGATGTTAGTTAATTCTCTTCCTTGCTGTTAGAGGTTACTTCCTCCAAGAACCCAGGTTGTTTCTTCTCCTCAAAAACAAAAGCTTTAAAAATGCACTAGCACGGGCTGCACCGTTAAAGCAAGTTCTTAAGAGCACCATTTTTGCTGGTCCAGACACTTTTACAGCTTCAATGTTTGAGTCTGTGATTCAAAATGTGACGCTTTTTAAACTTTACCTTGTTAACGACAACTTATATATGCTAATTAACCTATAGACCTCTTAAGCTTACAAGAAAAGTACGTTTTGTTTTCCCTATGAAGGTCTCAGAGGAAATTGTCTTTTCACAAATTATTCATATACATATATGAGTCTGAAATATGACAAATCTGAAAGAAACAGTTCTCATCATCACATGAGCTACATTGGCAAAACAAATCATAGAAATTAGAGAGGTCTATTGCCATTAACACTGGATGTGCTTGTAGATAACCAACTTATTTTTGTTCTCTGCCAATTGATTTATTTTTTTTAAAAAAAAAAAATATTAGTAGTTTGTAACATGGGGTAGAAAAGTGTGCTTTTCACTTTAAGCTGGAAGTGGATAAGGGGACTGAAAAAATTGTCTTGTCCTTCTTGGTTGCACAGGCCCCCATAAAATCACAGGGCAACCACCAGATTAGGAAGCGTCATCCTCCATCAAGGGCCATCCCCGCACAGGTTCTTTTGGCTCGCCATGAGTAATCCTTATGCCAGACGAACCCCTTAGAATGTCTGTGTGGGAGGCCACTTCACTAACTGCAATAAAACATCTACATTTTATTTTAAGATAACCTACCTGACCAGCCAGCTTTCTATTCTCATTGTGTAAATGATGAGTTACAGCTGCTGCCAAATTTCCACCTGCACTGCTTCCTGCTAACACTATACGGTTCGTGTCAATACCATACTCATCTCCAGTTTCAAGAAGACTTTTCACCACTTCAACACAGTCATCAAAACCAGCTGGAAAGGGGTTTTCAGGTGCCAACCTGTACCTGTGTATATATGTAAAGTTACGGTAAAATGGGCGACAAAAATGTGTAACTTGTTTTTCACCAATGTTCCAAAACAAGTTGAATAGCAGTGATGCATGTTTTACCATCCCCGAATCAACCTATCTTGCAACAAATCAGCTTGTTGCAAGTTGCAAAAGAAGGCAGTTGTTGCAGAAAGTAGAGAGAATTAGTTCTACTTTTTACAACAAAATCGGTACATGTTGCACATTTTACCAACCTAGAAGACAAACTTTTTGCAACGAGTAATTAACTCATGTATGGCTTGACTCCCACAAAACTGGATCCAATCAGAAGTCAGTATTCACATAACTTAATGTAACAAGCCGATTTAAAGTTGCAAAACAGGTTTGAGCGTGTACGATAAAAAGTGCAACTTTGTCTGTTAACCCTTTAAGCCCCAGTATCCACATACAAATTCTCCAAACTGATCTCTATACATTTCCTTTAAGAATTAGTTGAGAGAATTTGATAAAACATCAAGGCATTTTCTCTTTCATGATAATTTTTTACATTCTCACAACCTTATCTCTTGACAATGTATCACGAACATTGTTAGGAGAAAATTGCTGTTGGTCACTATTGGGACTTAAAGGGTTAACTCGTTTTGCAGCAGTGCTCGTGTAAGTTACAAAACAAGTTACATGTTTTTGTTGCCCATTTTACCATTGGCTTGTGGATAACATTAAGTTTACACATGCAGAATGACTTAATAATAATAGTAATAATAAATAATTAAAAACGAAATAAAAAGGCTAAAAAGCTAAAATTACAATCAAGAGTAAACTTACAATGATTTAAAAAGCTAAAATTACAATTAAAAGTAAACTCACAATAATAAAAACAACTATGATAAGAATGCATGATGGAAAAAGTGAGTTTTTAGCTTGGCTTTAAAAATACTGTGCTCAGGCGCTTCTTATGTCAAATGGTAACGCATTCCACAGTTTTGGTGCAGCACAGGTAAAAGAATGATCACCTAGTGTAGCTTTAGATTTAAAACGCCGATAACTTAGTAAAAGGTTATCACTAGAATTCCTTAGACTATATTTAGATGGGAGCCTAAGAGAAATGAGAGGCGATAAATAAGTAGGCGCTAAAAAATTAAGAATCTTAAAAGTAATTAATTATTCTATATTTAAACGGTAACCAGTGTAATTCATAAATAAGAGGCGTTACATGCCAAAATTTCTGTTAAAAACTTAAAAAACAAAACTTCTTGATTAAATTATCCTGCTTTCAATAGAAATCATAATTATTGCATGTTTAAACAAGCAGCAATGTATATGCAAGTTCAAGTACCAGTAAATGTACTAGAATATCTTACCCAACAGATACAACTACCACTCCAGCATTTGCAGCCATATATTGAGTGAGGGAATGGTAAAAATCTAAAAGGAACAGACTCATGATCAGTAAGAAATTAGTGAACCTTTTAAGTCCTGAGAGTGATCAGCATCAAATTTCTCCTTGTAATATCAATGCTTTGTAAAACAGAGTGCTCATGAGAATTATGGACGTGATCACGTAAGATAAATTTGCTTAATATTTTATCAACTTCTCCCCACTACTTCTGTAGGAATGAATAGGGGCAGCAAATGAGAATTCATATTTTGATCTTAGGGTCTAAAGGGTTAAAATAAAAGTACTGAGAGTCAGAGGCATCCACATGTCTTTTTTTTTGTAAAATACTGTTCAAAATTAGGGCAACTAGGAATTTCTAAAGCTCAAGAAAGGCCAAGATGTTTGCAGTTTTTCTACTAACTTACATACGGTTTTTAATTTGGAGGTTGTGTTTTTCATACTTCATTACCAGAATATTGCATAATTAATGAAATATTTTATTGTTAAAAAGAGTCTCCTGAAAATATTTTGCTATAAAGACAAAATTAACATCTCCTAGAATCTTCTTGTGAATGGACAGCTACTCCAATATTTCCTCAAACTTTTGACCACACCCATCTGGGTTTTGACAGTTTCGGATGAGACAAAAAGAGCCACCTACAACTTTTGAGATGACCAAAGTTCCCCTATTCAAGATATACGGACAGAAAAATAGTTTCTGAGACTATTCTTTACTTCTGACTATTTGGAAAATTTGGTTGTTGGGTGCCCCTGAAGAGTGACACATTTCAAGATTGTATCAGCTACCTGATGGAGTCAAGTTGTGATCATGTTTCTGTGGTTGCCATGAATTGCTGGGCCACAGAAACGCTTTTGATCCTGGGAGGAACTCCCTCATAAGAGCAATGAGAATGCTTATGACAAAACTAGAATATATTTTTTTGGAAATCCATGTGGCTTTGCCTTTATTTTACCCCCCAAGAGACCCTAAACAAATAGTGCAACTTATTGGTTATCATACATCAGGGGTACCGAACGAGAATATAGTTCAAACCCACTTAAACATAGCATTGTTGAACGTATTTCAGTATTTAAACAGTAGATATAGGCATGTTTTTACACCCTTAAAATTTTCCATCTGTTTGGATTTCCTAGCTGAAAGTGATCTAAATCTATCCAAATCCAGATCTAGTGATCCAAAAATTCTAGGGAACAAAACTTACCTTTTCGAAAATTTCAGCCAGAAAAAAGGCTCCCGAAAATTCTAGGTGACCTTTTCAGGGTAAAAATCAGTTAAAAATTGGCAATTAAACCATTTTTAGATGTTTGAAAATCTTACGAGAGAGGCAGGCAAGCAAGAAATCAAACAACAAATGTTCCAAAACTTCTACATCTCAAATTGATTGTCTTCCGAACAGATATTTTGCAAAAATTAACGTTGGGTGCCCCTGATACATTGGATGTTTGTTTATGTACAACCTTGTTTAATAAGAATACTTTTAATTTACGTTTTATTTTAAGTAATTAGCAATTATTGGACAAGGTTGAGCAAAATATCGTGATTTGTCAGTGGCGAGCAGATCAATTATTATTTGGCTGAGGCAAATAATTGATCTGCGAGACACTGACAAATCACAATATTTTGCAATAACCAAGTTCAATAATAATTATTGTTTTATCATTCAATCAACGAGTTTCTTTTTTAAGGCATATCTTCGGTAAGCGAAGCGATCTGCTATTTTCACGCAAGAGCGATCACAAGAAGGAGAAAAGCATGGTTTCATTTATGCATAAGCAGAACAGTATTTGCAGCCAACAGGTGAAGGGCATTGTGCATGAGCAAACCATCATTTGTAGGCAGTTATTTGCAGGTCACATGGTGGGCTCTCGGCCAATGAAAAGGAAGAAACATTTGCATCGAATGATAAAAGCATTTATTTGCATTTCCATTATTTATTTGGCTTTGGCTTTGGCTTTAGTATTAACTCACCAATACTAAGGAACATCCAACCTCCACCATGAAAGAACACCACACATTTCTGTTTTGTACCATCAACTATTTGTTTGGGTCTATATAGACGAACCGGAACATGGGCAATTTTGAAGTCCTTGATTTGAAGTGAGGGATCTTCTGGCACATTCTGAAGGCGACTTAAGGTACTTTGGATCTGACGAATATTGTTTATAACACTTCCGATGCCAAGCAACGATGCAAGGTATGCCTTTAAAAAAGATTTAAGGATATCATTTTTCTCCTTTAATTCTAGGGCCCAAAAAATCAGATATAATTTCCTAGATATACCTTCATTTTGATAACTTCCATGGTAGATGTGAATGATGAGTGATGAAATTTGTTTTCCAAACAAATTTAAAAATGACATCTCTGCAACAGCAGTACAATCCACTGAGGAGGGGTTCCCAAGTATGTATGACCTCCCCATGGGGTTCTGAAATTGGGCATTAAGCTTATAACATTTTTGGAAATAAAAATAGATGTGGTAGGCTTTATGGTCTCTAGAACCAGGGTCCGGAAAATTAGGTACGTGTTTTAGAATTTATCTCCTGAGAACAGCGGTTCAGGCCTGAAATAGAAAGGGGAAAACATATTTTGGTCTGGCTAGTTATGGTCAAGGATGCAGAACGCACATCCCATCGCAAACCCGGAACCTGCATGTGCAAAATAAGGCACCATTGGAATGCACGTTGGTCAGTATATTAATGAAATAGTTATAAAATCACAAGAACGAGATAGCAACTTCGAAGAGGAAAGTTACATTATACTTTTGGAATAAACGAAGACATTAAACAGCTTATAATATGATAAAACTTACCACCATTCCCGTAAGCTTTGTGATCAACCCCACTATTCGGAGTTTATGGTGTTGATCGACAGGCAGTCCTTCCGGAACAAGCTGATTGAAATACATACGCAAGATTGCAGCGATAAGGACGGCAAGGAAAGCCGTGAAAATAACCAAAACAGCGACCATTTTGGCATCGCAGTCTCCGATACAAAATAGCGGTAGTCAACTACGTCATATATGCCACATCATAGTGTCCCTTACCATGTTTTTTTCCTTGGATTTTTAAGGATTCTTTCAATACCAAGTTCCTTTTAGCAAGTTCCTCTTCCAGAGCGAGGAAAATTGGTTTGAACGGCAAGAAGTTATAAAATACAGGTAAAATTTTGGGAGAGCTTAATTAATGTATCGTTACGTCATCCTTAGCATCCTAGATAATTCATGTACCATACACGACATAAAAAGTCAATGATAGCGTGACCTGTAGAGTTGAAGATCGTACTTGTAGCCCAAACAAAACATGGGAAATTGCTTCTTAATTTTTGGCGTCACTGTCACTACTTTAGTTGCCATGATCGTTGGTTTGTACTTGAATCAAAATTTACCGGAAGGACTCCCGTATGATCAGCAGTTTGGGGCTCGGTTCGTTGGAGCAAACTTGGATATTTCCCGTTTTCTGGTAGGTTTTTACAAACTTGTTTTCAAAAACTCGAACTCAGAACAGTCGGATTGGCCCCAGACCTGTATGATTTGCCCTGCATCCTGCATGTCTTTCAGTTTCACTGAGTCTTGGTGATGTGGATGGTATTGCGTACAGTCACAGCCAACCTGTACACTATTGTTTTTAAGCGGTCACTCGGAAATCATTAATCATCATTAGTGATGACAAAATACAGAAACATTTGAAAATTGACTTCAAATTATGCACCTATCAATGTAAACCCCGTGGGGGGAGGGCGGGCAAGGGGTGGGGATTTGGCAAATTTTAAAATTTTTCGATCAAATTCCCCAGGGTGGGAAACGAAAGGTCAATCAAAAGTGTCAAAAAAGCCCCCACCCCAGGGGAAAAAATCTAAACAAACAATGCTATAATACGATATAAAACGAATAAAAGAACATTTCAAACACGTTGTTACTACTTTTATTTACGGTTAACGGACGCTCCATTAAATTACTCGCTGTAATTAAGTATTTTCTCTCTCCACTAGCATCTCTTATCTTGAACAACAAAATCACTCCAGGAAGATTCACCGTGCTATATAATATTAATAAAACGTAAAATGCTTTATAACATCTGCTCAACATGTTGGAACAGGTCGGATCAGGGACCCATAAAAAATCCTCTGACTTTCATGGTGGAATTCGATTTCAATCGAGTTTTACAATCAGATGGGAACTTGAAGATAAAAACTTCCTCAAAATAGACATTATCTGTTTAGATGACAGTTTAAAGTATCGGATTATGGCGATTAAAAGAAATGAAAACTTCATACCTTTCTCCAACAACGTGACTTTCAGGAAGCCTCGAGGGACGGACTTGGTAACTGCTTCTGAATTGATACCAGGCTTCTGTCGGTCAAAGTCAAATGTCCCGACCCCGGGGTCACTTCACACGATCAAACGCCCGACAGCAGGGATAGTCCCAGGCATCAAATCCCCTCCCCTTGTCTGCACCCCCCCACGGGATTTACATTGATAGGTGCATTACAGTAGAATTAAAATTTACCTTAGTCAGTAAAGTAATTTTCATACTTGACAAAATGAGGGGAGATATTTCTTTTGACTTTGCCATACCGGGGTCATTTCATTTGTTTTTATGAGCTCCACTAGTCCATTTGGCTTAGGAACATGACAAAACATTTTGGACAAGAACTCTTGGATTTTGGACAACCAAATTTAATAAAGTGCCTGTCCGAGGGACAAGTGGATAGGAAATTTTTCTCTTACTCTGTGGTTGCCCCTAAAATAGTTAATTTTGTGCCAAAACGAAATGCAACATACATGTCTGGGATCAGTTCCCTTCCACGTCACATCTGCCATTATTGGTGTTCAAAAGCAATAAAACATCAGCCATGTTGGTGTCCCAAACATGCTTGTCACCCTAGGCGCTGTTTTCCCCGACCTGACTTACCGCTCCTGGGTCTCCGAGGATGTGTCCCAAACCAATCCTCTGGAGGTTGAACCTTTTCGTATGTATAGCTGCTGGCGATGTGAATGAAAACGCTTTATAGCGTTAATCAGTGTTTTGGAAAACAAACAGTAACCTCAACTCAACCCTATTACAGAAATATTTCTTTGAGCACCTTCCCATGATACCTAGCAGTAGGCCTTCCATCCTCTTACAATCAGCACGTGGACCGCTCAGCTCCAGATCCATAACAGTCCTTTTCTCCTGTCAGTTTTTCAATTACTAACAAAGTGCCTGGGTTGTAACCTTTTTTGTTTGTAGGGTCGTGCAGCTTCATTTGTGGGCATTGGTGATTCACCCATTGAAAATCTGAATTATTTGTTGAATGTAGCGGAACAAATTTTCGCGCCAGATGAGGAACCTGGTTTAGACGTCTATGACACAAAAATTGCTAATGTTCCTGTACGTGTTTATAAACCAAAACATCCTGATACCAAACCAACAGGTGTTGTTTATATTCATGGTGGAGGATGGACCATTGGTTCTGTTGGTAAGTTCCCATAATTATTTGCTCTGGCGTTACCTGAGGAGTTTCGAGTTTCTGAATCCTCTCCCTTAAGTTCTGCCTCCCCACCCCCCAACCCTGATCAGGTAAAGACTTTTTTGATTGACCTATAGTCATTAGGACGAGTTAAGTACTTGGCCCTTGGTTCTTTGTCAACTCTAGTTTTGAATAAACGACCCTACAACCACCTTGGGACGAGATATCTGTGTAAAGAAAAGTTTTGTATCTTGAAGGATTTTAGAAGCGAACAATGAGGAACGAATATTAACACATGTGTGTATACCAAGAACATGTCTGCAAGGCAACTCTTTATTTCACTTTCTTACATCATCTTTATCACGTGACCCATATTACCCAAAATACCACAAAAAGTAAATGAGTAAACTGCATCATCTTGTTTTTTTTGCAGCAACGTATCATCCTTTAACTTATCAGTTGGCTAAAGAAGCTAATGCTGTACTGATATCTGTTGAGTAAGTCAAGTCAAATAATTAAGTAGACATTACCTTCAGTCAGAAGCCGATTACATTAAGCTTCAGTTTTGAAGAAAGTTAACTTGTAAAATAACGTAACTAAAGAGCGTGATTTTCAATTAGTGACAATATTAAATATTAAACAAATTTTGTTTCCCCTCTATTGAGGACTGGGACTGGCTCTCTTGTACCAAAACTTATAATATGTAGCTAACTATAATTACAAGCAAACTTGAAGGCATCACATAACTGTATTTACCCTTTCTTACACCACTAATAGGCTTTAGGAAGAAGCTACCACCATTATTGTCAGTGATTTCAAATAGTGCAATTAATCTGTGACTTGACGTGTGGTAAATGATCAAAGCTCTGCTCTGATTGGATATTACCAAAACGGCGTAAAAGATAAGCCGCGAAAGCTGTCTCAGTATTTATTTAAAATAAATTAAAATGGGAAAGGCTTGACTCCAAGGCCTACAAGGTAGATGGGCGCTCCGGGAGGTAATTGACTCCTCAGCTTTAGAAATGATAAGTATAAGATACAGATATTGCCATGATATTTAATTTGTCAACTAACTAAAAAGCTCAGTGATGTGGTGCTGATATCTGCTGAATAAACGGTGTTGAAAACTGTATAATTACAACTCGACCAATTGATTGGAACTCTCAAGGATAACACCATTCACCCGCATTGATTACAACATGTGAAGGCCTTCCAGGAGGGAGGAAGGGTTCATGTTCCGTCAATCCCTGAAATAATTTGAATTTTCTCCTTTTTTCCTCAAATTTACCTCAAATTTGAAACATTCCCCAAAATTAAATTTTGTCAAGTGTGCACTATATGCCAGACCATAGAATCATCAGTAATGACGTTCGAGTCTAACCGATTTGCACTACCTCAGAACGCCACGTTAAGCTATAGATGACAAACTTCAGTTATTGAATGATCACCAGTTCTGTTGTAAAGATGCACTGACTTTAAGCGTTCATCCTTTCGCATCCAAGTTACAACTAGCCCCGAGAGAACACAGAAACAGGGAAAACGTCGCCCGTTAAAGGTCTTATAGTAAAAGAAAAAAAGGAACGAATATTTTTTCCTGAAAGTTAATTCAAGTTATCCTTTTTTCCCAAGAAGTGAGTGGTCGTGCTTTCTTTTCCCGAAAAGCCTGGGAAGCTCTCATGTATCACTTTGACGAAAATAATAAAATAACGTCAATATTAACGTCTTTCAGGTACAGATTAGCACCCAAGCACACCTTTCCAACACAGTTCCATGACTGTTATTCCGTTGTTACGACTGTGCTGAACACTGCTGATAAATATGGTATTGACCCCAATCGCGTTGTTGTCGCTGGCGACAGTGCCGGTGGTAACCTAGCAACGGCAATTGCTCTGAAACTGAGGGATGAGAATAAGAGACTGGCTGCTCAGGTGATTAAATCCTCAAACCCCAATATCCACATACCAATTCTAAATAATCTCTGTTTATTTCCGTAAAGAATAAGTTGAGATTCCGAATTTGAGAAAAGATCAAAGCATTTTCTCTTAGGTGATTATTTCAGTAATTCTCGAGACCTTTTCTCTTAAGTCTTGTGTTTATATTGTTAGGAGGAAATGGATGGTTTGTCAGTCTGGTGACTCTTAAGATAAGATACAAAGGCTATAAAAGTATTTTAGTAAACTCTGTAAAAAAAGGTCACAGATTACTAACATAATTTTATAGCCTTTTTGTATCTTATCTCGACCAAATGAGAAGGAACGCAAGAAACCACAATTAAAGCAGAGGCGCGGAGCACTAGCCTGCGTAGCAGGCGCTTGGTCTCTTTCGCGCGCCCCTTTCTTTCTTGCGCCCACTACTTCCGAGCGCCGAAATCGCAGGCTACGAGGCACAAGCATTCAGAGTGGAGTGGAGATTTCTGCGTTTTGTATTTTGGTTTTGATTTTTTGTACTGATTGTTTGTCTGTTTTATGGTGGAGAGGAAAAGGTTGTTCTTTGCTATCTTTCAAGTTCTAAAGATGGTAAATTTGAGAAGTCCCAAGTATGGCGTCTCCTTTGCCCAGAATGAAAATACGAGTAATTTGCTGTGTAACTTCAGTCGAACCCCTGCTAACAGCCTTCGTTAGGCAATATCCGTGAAAAACGTTTCTCCCGAACAAGAGCCCAAGCAATGGCCACTTCTATAAAAATTTTATCCTCTCAAACCGAAATTAGCTCTTAAAATAACATGTTCGCTACGGTCATGTCACCATGCGGGTAAAGCGTCTGTTTGCACGGGGCTAAAAGTTTTACCGGTTTCAAACTTTGCGCAACAACTCCCAACAACATACAACAGGGTTTTCAAACGGACACAACATGTAACGTCCAACAATGTTGGGAGTTGTTGGTCCACAATGTTGCGTCCGTTAGCATACATGTATACTGACACCGGTCGATGGAAATGTCAGGGCAAAACCTAATCGCAGTGATGTCGCCGTTGTACTCGGATCCACAAAGTAGTCTAGACAATGCAGATTTATAATCGCCCTTTTTTTTATTCGGGTCACATATTAGAATGACTTAGGAACAAGTTTGCCTCAGCTTGTCGCCAACTTTTCTTTATTTCTACAGAAACATAAGTAGTTTGATGTGCGTTTCATCCACACCGTTCATTTTATTTGATCGCTTTTTGATTTAGAAATTGTCAATTAGAATCTGACGTTTGCCTTTTGTCGTAAACTTGATTCTCAATATTTCTATTTATCACCGCGGCCACCTGTTCATAACGGCTAAAAATGTTATCCCGATCGAGGGCGTCCGTGGGTCAGCGAAGGAACGGCCTGCCTCTCAAAAGCCGCGAGCGGCAAGCGGCAAGCGACGAAGCTAGGACACGCGAGAAGTGTGGGCGTGGACCCTCTCTTGTCTCGCGCCTACATTCGCGTGCGCGGTTATATAGGGAGCTTGAGCAAAGGTGTTTTAATTAAGTGACGGACGTACCGGATCTGGGCGTTTTTCATTCTTGGCCGGTGGTTTTGCCCAAAATTACCTCTATAAGAGTAAAGACACCTAGCAGTACAAATTTGTCAGCGTTAAGGCTTATTAACCCTTTAAGCCCTAAGTGTGATCAGCATCAAATTTCTCCTTGTAATATCAATGCTTTGTAAAACAGAGTGGTCATGAGAATTAAGGACATGATCACACAAGATGAATTTACTTGACATTTTACCAACTTCTCCCCACTACTTCGGTAAGAAATCAATAGGTGCAACAAATAAGAATTGAAATTTTGATCTTAGGGTTTAAAGGGTTAAAAGGAAAAGGTCTCACTACCGGTTGACGTGCGTCGTCTCATGTGCGAGCGCGCGTAGTCTGCTACACAGCCGTTTTAAGTGTCTTGCGTGACGACACTAAAAACGGCTGTGTAGCAGACTAGAGCGCGCGCCTCTCGCTTGGTGAATTAAGAAGAAAAGAGGGACTGTTTGAAGTCCAGCGTCACGTAGAGGTTAAACTATACGTGTTTGTTTATTTTTCTGTCTGTTTTCGTACGCAGATTCTCCTATACCCTGCTGTGCAGTTCCTGGACCTTTCTCTTCCTTCTTTGAAAACTAAGGATTCTCCAATTCTTACACAGCGTGAAATGGCAGAATACTGGTCTTATTACATGACGGGAACTCCAAACTTAGCTTCCACATTGTTGGCAAATAATCATTCTGTGCACCTCCTCAACACTAAGTACTCTTCTTATGTTGGTGTCAGAGACAAGGAGAAACAAAAAACTCCTCCAAAAACGCCACCAGAAAATATTCCAAAAGCTGTCATCGATGGTTTGATTGATTACCGGGTGTCACCTTTAATGGCAGATAGCTTGAAGGGACTACCAAAGACCCTACTGACAACTTGTGAATATGATGTTCTGAAAGACGATGGTCTTTTGTACAAGGCGCGTTTACTTGGTGATGGGGTCAAAGTGACTCATCTTAATTACATGACATACCATGCTTTCCTAGCTTATCAGTCAGTTCCCTTTTTAACTACAGAAGAGTTTCGCCAGGGATTGCGAGATATTACTGATTACCTCAAGGCGTTGTAGCATCTTGTAGAAATTTTCGTTTCCCTGAATACAGCATTCCTGAAAGTTCAGTCCCCTGACTTTTCAGTTTGCCGAGTTTTACCTGGTTTAGAGGTGATTAAATTCGTGACGTGAATTGGGCATCGTTAATGATTTTTGAAGAGGCCTTGGTGTTAAGGTGATGTTACGCGAGACGATTCGCAACGACGATTTTTAGCGCAACACAGCGTTGCAACATTGTTGCGACATTGTTTCGAATAGTTACAACATTGTTCCAACATTGCAACGCTGTGTTGCGCTAAAAATCGTCGTTGCGAATCGTCTCGTGTAACATCACTTTTAGCATGTTTAGTCTCCTTCGGGCCGGCGGAGTCACGCAATACTGTCTCCACGCGGCTGCCTCAAAGCGACGTACATCCCGGGTAGCATTGCGTGACTACAGCCCGAGCGGCTGCAAAGGAACTACCTTGGTGTTGGCTCTTCGTTTTACTAAATGCCTGAGAATTATACTGTGTCCGCAGAGTAGATAATTTTTGGTACAATTTTAAAAGGGTATTGTAATTTATTTGTTTTAATCAAATAGAGATGTAAAATTATCTTAGCTTACAGCCTAATTCCCGGACTAGAATGATTTCCGAGCCTAATTCCCGGACTAGAATGATTTCCGAGCCTGAGCAATCAACTTCATAAAGAGATCGCAATCTCAAATAATGTTGTTTTCAACAATTATTATCGATTTTTTTATTTGTAGTGTTAATAGGTTTTTAACTCACGACGTCCAGGAGGAGATCTTGGGGATTTGCGACCTTCAGGGGGTGACAGGCAGGGCGCGGGAACCTGGGTGAATAGCTCGGGGATGGGAAGGGTACGGGAGGGGGGGCAGGAGAAGATCATGACAGGGCGGGAGTTAGAAATTCTACGGAAGAGCGGAATTAGGAGAAACGGGGAAATTAATCGACAATGCTTAATATTTCGCAATCCGAAAAGGGGCTTAAGGGAGGAAGCCAAGAAAGTAGTGGCGGGAATGGGAATGGACAGCTACCCCATGCCCTCAAACTTTCCACCACACCCATCCGAGTTCTTACAGTTTCTGATGAGACGAAAAGAGCCACTTTTGAGATGACCAAAGTTCCCCAATTCAAGACATCCGGACAGGAAAATAGTTTCTGAGACTATTCTATTCTTCTGACTATGTGGAAAATTTGGTCGTTGGGTGCCCCTGAAGAGTGGCACAAGACTGTAACAGCTACCTCATTTAGTGGCATTAGAAGAACATTATGGCCGACAAGTGTCTCGCAAAACCGTCCCAAAGTCTCCGTCTCTTGCTGACGGTTGTACACTGCAACTCCCGGGGTTTACATGAGGAGAATCAATTGCGATTCGGCAACAGTAAACATTTCCTTTTTTTATATATTTCGCTAAAAACCATGAGATTGGGAGTCTTGTGGTGAGAAAAGTTGAAAAGTCGTGAGAGTCAGGGCAGAATCGTATTGTGAGCTTGGACCAGTTTGGGAGTCGAAAAGCAGTTGCTGATCTTCTCGTCATGTTTATCGCCTGGACGAGTCAAAAAGATTTATTCTGTCTAAAAGTTGACCGTAGTGCTAATTTGAACCCTTCAAAGTCCACATGAAGACAACTTATCGTCCTGTGAAATGTACAAAATCAAAACCTGACATCGAAAGCTCTGGGCCGCGAAATCAAGAGAAACAGCTGTGATCCCCGTCAGGCAACGTCATAGCGTGAAATTCAAAATGGCGACGAAAACGGCACCAATATTTGACCAAGCAAAGGAATGTGAAGAATCTGGCAGAAAGTGCCTCGACATGCTCGGTAGCCGCGCTACGAAATTGGTAACCGCGCCTTGAAGAATAGACTGCGTTCTCCTTCGTCGAACGCAATTATAATTATCATAATTATATGCCACAACATACTGTCCGTTTATAGGTTATCATATTTACGCGGGATTTGTACAGGCGCTTTAATATTTTAAAAGCATGTTTCTTTTTGTATGTTCCTCTATAAGATGGAGGAAAATTGGTTTAAAGAGCAAGCTGGACTAAAAAAAAATTCTAGTAAAATACCGTAAAATTCCGAAAATAAGCCCCTCCAAAAATAAGCCCCCAAACCAGTGACGCAAAAAACCCTCCGTTAAATCGCCCCCCCAAGAAAAAAATATAAGCCCCCCGGGGGCTTGTACTTGGAAAATTGTCCTCAAATACAAAATAAAACAAAGCAAAAACGGTAAGTTTACTTCGAACTATAAGGCTAGCCCAATCGATTTGTAAACGCAGATTTCCCTCCGTAGATAAGCCCCTCCGAATATAAGCCCCTCAAAAATGGCCATTGAAAAATATAAGCCGCGGGGCTTATTTTCGGAATTTTACGGTATAGGAAATACTTCTTGAGCATCCTAAATAATTCGTGCACCATATATGACCGGTAAAGTCAATGATGGCGTGACCTCTCTTGCAGAGTCGAAGATCCGAAACATGGCAAATTGCTGCTTCATTTTTAGTGTCTCTGCCGCTGCCCTCGCTGCTATGATCTTCGGTTTGTACTGGTATCAAGATTTACCAGAAGGACTCCCGGATGATCAGAAATTTAGCGCTCGTTTTGTTGGTGCACATTTGCATATTTGCCGCTTTCTGGTAGGTTTCAGTTAAAACTTTACAAAAATGGTATGGTATCTTTTTGTCAAAATTTGGGTATAAAGTATTCAGTTTTTTCTGAATTTTAGGTATTCGGTATCACACATGTTACGTGTATTGGTATCTTGTATGGAAACTGAATAACGGCTATATTGGTATCCCACTTCCCGGGGGGAAATCGAGGGAAATCTAGGTAGAGGTGTGCTGCCGAGGCCTTCAAACCCCGACCCTGTTTAAGGGGCTCTTTACCTGGAGGAAGGAAGATCCTAGAAGGCGGATCAACTTTACGTTGGGTTTACATGCAGAAATTTTGGTCCGTGTGGTAGTTTGAGAAGGAATTAAAAATGGCGGGCGACAAAAACAAACATACAATTTAGGCCTTTCTGCTCTCTTTACTGGCGTTAACGACTTCCTTTCAGCAGAATTATCACAATAATCAGCTCGTGGTAACGCCAAACGAAATGGTTGGCCTTTATTGCCGTGACTAGCCACTGAACGACCCGCCTTTTTTCCCTAGGATCTTCCTAGCGAAGGCAGTTTACATGGTGCTAGGATCTTCCTACCTGGCAGCTAGGAAGATCCTAGTACTAGGAAGATCCTACGAAGATCCTAGTACTAGGAAGATCCCAGTTCTAGGAACAAGTACAACCCTTTGCATGTAAACCGAATACAGACATGGCGCTAGGATGATGCGCCTTCCTGGTACTACGATCTTCCTCCCTTCATGTAAACAGCCCCTAAGACAAAAATTGCGCATTTCCTGACCCTGATTTGTTGTGTTTTGAATACAGAATTAATTAATTTTTTACACTAAAATCGTGGAAATAGATGTTTAGGGAAAAAAATATTGGTATTACAAATGTAGCCCGCTCATCGCAAGTCTTCACACTCTTTGAAAGGCTTCCAGTCCAAAAAGACACCCTGTTCTGAAGACGCTCGGTAGTGAAATTGTATACCCTCAAGACCTTGAAAACCATACCCTGTTCAAGCGGCACATACCCGTGTATGCCAAATAAGGGAGTGCCCCCCTGGGATCCCACCACCCCCAGGGCCTGATTTATTATACAATACAGTTGAAATTCGATTTTTCGAACCTTCTGGGGAAAAGAAGATGCTTCGAATTATCAGGAGGTTTCGATAAACGGGGATAAGATATCGCTGTTTAAAGTGGCTCCCTAGAGTATTTACTAATAACCCTAGTTATCTAGCAACGTTACAGAACGAATCAGGTTTGGTTCGAGTTATCGGAAGGTTCGAGAAACCGAAGGTTCGAGAAATTGGGATTCTACCGTAATAAATAACAACTAGTAGGTTCCAGTGGAAAGTGAAGTGCTGCGAGTAAAGCATGACATTTCAAATAATTTGCATCAGTTGCAGTCTATTTAGATTGTTTATATTTCACATTAACCGTGTCAAGTAACTGTACATGTAACGACACGAAGGCGATCGATAAAACTGAACTTTGAACCAAAATAAGTCAAATAAGTGTTTATATCAAAAGTCCGTGAGATTAAATCAGGGTATTATTTGTCTGAAACCTGTCCACGATAAAGTTCAGAGCACGCGAGCGTTGGAGTGAGTAAAAGATTGAATTTCCATCGAGTTCAATATTAAACTGGTTCATAAGGCTTCGCGAGCGTATCAAATCATTTTCAATTTTTGCTTCCGTCGTGTATAAAACGTTTTACTACCAAGGGAAAACAAGCCTTGTCACACTAAAGCAATTTATCAATTTAACAAATACAACAAAGCCTGGCAGAATACAAATTTAGCCAAAACGCCGACTTTACTCACCGTAGAGTTCCAGGAATTGCTTGAAATATTCTGAGAAACGTATCGCCAGGGGCGTCCAACGTCAATTTTCGGAAAATATCTGTTCGGAGGACGATTTGAGATCTAGAATTTTCGGAACATTTGTTGTAAAATTTCTTGCTTGCTTCTAGGATTTTCAAACATCTAAAAAATGGTATAATTGCCCATTTTTAACGGATTTTTACCCTTAAAAGGTCGCCTAGAATTTTCGGGAGCCTTTTTTCTGGATGAAATTTTCGAGAAAGTAAGTTTTGATCCCTATACAAGTTCTCGGATCTCTAAACTTTCAGCTAGGAAATAAGAACAGATGAAAACTTTTCAGGGGATAAAAATATGCCCTGGAAGTTGTTTTGGTTTCGCTGACCAAAAGGACTTGTAGCAAAATCACGCATCTAAACAAACCAACACTTGAAAAAGATGTCACGTACTTGCAGAAATAGGAGTGAGTCACAACTCACCAAGTAGCTAGGTGCACGAGTCGCTCGCTAGAGGTTACGCCACCAAGCGCCTAACGAACCAGTAGATGAATGAGCCAAAATGTCCGTAGCCCTATAAACACCTAGCTGGTGTGTTTTCAAAGGTCAAAGAAAATAGAGATTTCTCAGAGCTTTGTGGCTCCAAGAGAAGAACAAGGGCATTCACACGGACAGGGAGATGCGGTAGGTGGTGGTAGGGGAGTGGGCCGGGGGGTGTTGTGTTTACAGGAACCTCTTTCTAGATCTTCTTAATAGCACTTTCTACTATCCCCCAATCTTCGTCTGCTTTAAAAATCACGGATGGCGTACGCGTTTATGCGCGGGAAATGATGAACCAGCTCGTTTACTTAAAAATACGCGGCTTGTATGCACTAACCTCGCCGGTCCCTGAGCGCTTTTCTGGGTATGAGGCTGCACTTGCACTGCAGTCCTTTCTTAAAAGACACTTTAAGCCTGTGCTTCTTTAATATTCAGTCCAACGTCAATCATCTATCCTAAGATCAGGCTGTTCTTCTTCCTTTTTTCTTCAGGAGGAGAGGGAGAAAGTTCCTCTTTTCCCTTTTCCCGTCCGCCAACGCTTGCCCTCTCCGGCCTCCAGAGCGTGAGACACGCACATCGAGGAAGGCGCCTTCCCCTGTCGCGCATGGATCCTGCTCCACGTCCCCTTCGTGCTCACCTGTGAAATGCGAAAAAAAAATAGTGCCTGTTTTGCAGGCTAAAATTCACCGTACTTTTGGGTTTATCATTTCCTCACTAACATTGATACCTTGCCATCACTATATTGTCTGTGCATATCAACTGCTAAAAAAGTGCCTTGGTTGTAATTTTTTTGTTTGTAGGGTCGTGCAGCTTCATTTATGGGCATTGGTGATTCACCCATTGAAAACACGAATTATTTGTTGAATGTGGCGAAACGGAAAAAGAAAGAAGGATCAGATTTAGAAGTCCATGACACCAAAATTGCTAATGTTCCTGTACGTGTTTATAAACCAAAACATCCTGATGCCAAATCAACAGGTGTTGTTTATATTCATGGTGGCGGATGGACCCTTGGTTCCGTTGGTAAGTAGTGACACTGAATTACGACGGCCTGACCTTGAAGGTTGAAGGGGTTATAGGTTTCCTGAATCCTTTCGTGTTTCTCTTGTGATATGAATTTTTAAATAAAGTATTACCTACCTACCTACCCTTCTGTTCTTCACGCTTCCCACTCTAGTGGGTAAACACTCACTTAGCTGAAAGCTCTGTCTTCACAGCACTCAAACTGACGAGAGAAATTTGCAAAAGTTTAAGCAAAGCAATATAATTCAAAGCCAACTTATTACTTTCACTGTTCAAAGTTTAATATGCTTGAGACTAGGAGTCATTTTATAAGTAGGTGGAACATGATCGTCCCAGTGAACGTTGTTCTGAATAGTGACTGACCTTTCGACAACCTGTGAGTTGTAACTCGTCAGTTTATAGTATGAAACTCTGAAATAAAGTCCAGGGCGCGTATTTTTTTTAAATTTTCTGAGTCAACAGGAGGCGCTAATTCGAAGAGGGCGCTTCTTTCATTTTTCAAATGTTGGCCTGAAAGTAACATTTTTTTGTAAACTAGAACTTACGTGAAAGAAGAAACACAAAGTGTGTCGTCGCTAAGGCCCCCGTTTGTTCTGGTAATGAATTCCTGCCACTCTACTTCTACAAGGTATCTTCGGTGTTGCTTTTGGGGGAGGGAGGGTTTGGGGATGCTTACTAGAAAGGGAACTTATTTAATGTTTTTAGTTTCAAGGGGCGCTAATTCGAACTAAGGCGCTTTTCCGAAGGAGGGCGCAAATTCGAGCGTTTACGGTAACCGCTTTATACTTCTCTTCTTTTACAGAACTGTTCCATCCATCCACATATGAATTGGCTAAAGAAGCTAATACTGTACTGATATCTGTCGAGTAAGTGATCAAAAAGTGTATATAATCCAACTCTTAGCTTCCATCCAATAATGCATGGTTAAATTTGACCTGTTTCCATCCCCCCGGGCCCGTCTGAGGCGGTCTTCTCTTGGGGTTAGGGAGGTGGGGCAAAACAAAAGTATTTTTTCTTTAAGGTATGTCTTAAAATTTGAAAGGAATGTGCGTATGTAGCCTGCGTGCAGACGATAACTAAACTCTGATTAGTACCGTCTGCGAAGCAGCGCAGAGATCCTTGTTCTGAACCCCCAACGGACTCAACGAATTACCGGAAGTGCGTTTCGAATTTCCCTTCAACCTAATTGGCGATCACGACAAACAAAACAAAGGCCTTTTTTAACTGGCCAATCGTGGCGCGTACTCAAATCTGGGTACACAGCTGGAAGTCCGGAACAAGGATTTCGGCGCTGTTTCGCAGACGGAGTTAACCAGAGTTTAATTTCGTCTGCGCGCAGGCTAGTGCGTATGATGCGTATTCGAATGCGTTCTATCTATTTTTTGGAAAAGAAAGAAAGAAATATTTTTTCAACCTGGCTTTAAAGATAAGAAAACTTTTATATGAAAACGGATACAAGGCTTTTGATATGTATGGAAAAACAGAGATTCGGTCCAGTGTTCTTATAAACTGTTCTGTCAAATACGTGCTTTTTAAGAGTTTTTCTTCTTCGTTTTCGTTTTCAAATTTATTGTTTATGTTTTAACTACATTATGACATCCATTATCCTTCTCTCAATAAACTTTGGAAAACGTTCTTGAAAGTTGTGGAAGCGTCTCGTTTTGCTTTTGTACGAATCAAACAACCTCGTCCCCAGGGCTTTTCCCTTAAAAAATGGGTGGGCGGGAAAAGCTGTTATCGAATAGTACTTCGGCTGAAATTCATCGTGACTGTGGAATTACTGTGCGATCAAGCAGAAAGTGATTTTGTCCAATGTCAAACAAAAATGCGGGCCTTTGCCTCTGGGATCTGCAGTGAATTTAAACAAATTGAACTTAATTGAAATAGAATTGTTCATCAAAATGCTTTATGGAGTCTGTTCTTCTCTACAACCCGACCATGAAACAAACAAATCTCCGCGTCGGATGCAAGTCAGCCCTCCAGCCAGGAACGATGACAGGTCGCCGATCTGAAACATTTTAAGATCTCTTATATCTTTTCTCTTCCGAGGATAAGTACAAAGGATTTTCCTTATACCAAAGGGAAGATTGACCGATCGATTGGAATCAACCACAGCTCTGTCAATTTTAAATGGACCCAAGTCTTTCTTTGTTACCAGTCGTTTGATACCCTGGGTGCCAGAAACTTTTCATGCGCGGTCTCCGGTTTCGGTCAAGTCTCGCAGAGGTCAATGAATTTTTTAAAAATACAGGTCATACTAGATAAGTCTAAACCAACGCGTGTCGCTATGATATGGCTGAGAGTCAAGGTGAATAGAACTACTAGGTTGTGTACGGCGGTCCACTTAGCAAGAAATAAATAAAATATCAAAAGAGTCGCGAAAACGGACTTTTCTCAGGGACACCCAACGGCAATTTTCGGGAAAATATCTGTTCGGAACACGATTTGAGATCTAGAATTTTCGGAGCATTTGTTGTAAAATGTCTTGCTTGCCTGCCTCTCCTAGGATTTTCGAACATCTACAAAATGGTATAATTACCCATTTTTAACGGATTTTGACCCTAGAAAAGGCCACCTAAAATTTTCGGGAGCCTTTTCCTGGCTAAAATTTTCGAGAAGGTAGGTTTTTATCCCTATAATTTTCGGATCACTAGACTTTCAGCTAGGAAATCCGAACAGATGAAAAGTTTTTAGGGGATAAAAATATGCCTATATCTACCGTTTGAATACTAAAATACGTTCAACAATGCCATGTTAAGTGGTTTTGAACTATATCCTCGTTGGGTGCCCCTGTTTTCTATGCCAGTACAAACTTAATGCATGTACGATGTCTTGTTTGTCATTTATATCGCTCTATAAAGGAAGTTTTACAAATGTTACCGCTCGCTGTCTCCTTCATAGAAATCGGAGGAAAGCAAAAAATTACCATAGCCAGTATCTGAGACAAAAAAGAAATCTTGTAAAACTTTTCGTTACTCGTCAAGAGATATAAAAGGTCGCCCAAGATCGCGCGCTGTGAGGTTACGCATAATTTTAACTTTTCACATAGCGCTAATTTATTACACCCAGGATTTTAGGGTGTACGACGGGACACGTGACCAGCCGATGCCAGAGCCTTTTCCCGCCCCACCCATTTTTTAAGGGAAAAGCCCTGGGGACGAGGTTGCGAATCAAAAAGATGTACCCATAAAACGTATAGGAGGTCGATCAGCAGCTCGGGGGTGGGGTATGGTCTCTTTCTGCGTGCTCGTGGGGGTTGGGGAATAGACCTCCAAGAAAGGCTAAAAATTGCAAATCCCCGGGGGTATGGCCGGGGGGCATTGTTACCAGTCAAATTGAACCATGCATAACTTATCAAATGGCTAAAGGAGCCAACACTGTGAGTACTGATATATGTCAAAGAGGTGCATGCTATCTGTAGATAATAAGTAGTAGGACATCGATTAGATAGTTTACAGAGTTTCCCTGATATTTCTCAGATAGCTAAAGAAGCTGCTTTGGTGCCAATATCTACTGAATGAATTGTGTCACTTCCCTGCAAATAACAAATTAACCTTAATGATGAATGTCTTTCAGGTACAGGTTAGCACCAAAGCACACCTTCCCAACACAGTTCCATGACTGTTATGCTGTTGTTAAGACCGTGCTGACCACAGCTGATAAATATGGTATAGACTCCAATCGCGTTGTTGTCGCTGGCGACAGTGCGGGTGGTAACCTAGCAACCGCAATTGCTCTGAAACTTAGAGATGAAAATTTACGACTGGCTGCTCAGGTGAGGAAAAAGGTCCTTAACCTTGTTCCCAAGGTCCTCTCACACTTATCCCAGTCCCTCTCCTCCCTCCCCCCTCCCCCCTCTCCCTCCCCCTCTCTCTCTCTCTCTCACTGCTCTTATTTTGACACAAAGAAAGAATGAAAGAGACTACAAGTGAAGGTATAGCCGGCAAAAGGGCGGAGCACGAGCGAGCTATAGAGGGCTAACAGGTGCGACTGGAGATGTGGTATTTTTGCATTTTGGTTGAAATTCCGATTTAACTCTGATTTACTTATTGTGTTTATTTTTAAAGGTGGTGTGGGAGGCAGCCATTCTTGGCTATTTAGAAATAAACTTAGTGATTTTTGAGAACTTCCCAAAGGGGAATAAAGAAATCTTCCGTACCAATTTACAAGTACTCTCATTTGAGGGATAATGATAGATAAGGCCACCTCTAGATAACGGCAACAAACGAGTCCTCACGAAGGTGATCTATGTTTTTCAAAGTGGGGTGTCAGGTCTCGCCTTTCTTGTCTCGCGCCCCTAGTAGCGAGATTGGCCTTTTTTCTCGCGCCCGTTCCGTTCGAGGAGGAGGTAGTAGTTAGTCTGAGAAAACAGTCTACATTTCCGGTGACGTCACTACTGGTTTCCTCTCGAAATGACGTCTTAGTAACAAGCGCAGAAATTCCATACTGATGAAGTGTTACCACCCAAATTTGGGTAGTACTTCTGATTGGTTGATGCAAATAGTTGCACGACCAATCAGAAATACTACTGTGATCTGGGTAGTGATACGTCATTAGTATCGAGTTTCTGCGCTTATTCTTCAGGCGTCATTTCGAGGGGAAACCAGTGGTGGCTTCGCGAAATGTCGACTGTTTTTTCACGCTAGTTCGTAGTCTATCGTAGTATCTTGTGTTGAAATGAACATGTGATATATTTGTTTCTCTCTCTTTTTATCCTATCTAGATCCTGCTATACCCTGCTGTGCAGTTCCTGGACTTTTCTCTTTTTACTTTTAAAACTAAGGATTCTCCAATTCTTACACAGCGTCAAATGGCAGAATACTGGTCTTATTACATAACGGGAACTCTAAACTTAGCTTCCACATTTTTGGCAAATAATCATTCTGTGCATCTCCGCAACACTAAGTACTCTTCTTATGTTGGTGTCAAAGACAAGGAGCAGCAAAAAGCTCCAAAAAAGCCACCGGAAAATATTCCAAAAGCTGTCATCGATGGATTGATTGATTACCGGGCGTCACCTTTAATGGCAGATAGCTTGAAGGGATTACCAAAGACCCTACTGATAACTTGTGAATATGATGTCCTGAAAGACGATGGTCTTTTATACAAGGCGCGTTTACTTGGTGATGGGGTCAAAGTTACTCATTTTAATTACATGACATACCATGGTTTTATGGCTTTTCAGCTAGTTCCCATTTTTACAACAGAAGAGTATCGCCAGGGGTTGCGAGATATTACTGATTACCTCAAGGAGTTGTAGAATTTAGTCTTAAAGCGTTGTCCCTTTCACGTTGTCGCGATAAACAAATCTTGATCGTAGATAATCTGGAGTCATCCCGTATAAGGTCTTAAACATCATCATGAGTAGATTTCTTCTCTATTCTTTGACGGCAGAGTTTATGCCACCGACCAGAAAAAAAAAAAAAAAAAAAAAAATAGATAATCTGGACCGGACTCATCCCGTATAAGTTCTTAAACATCATCATGAGTAGATTTCTTCTCTATTTTTTGACGGCAGTTTATGCCACCGACCAAAAAAAAAAAAAAAAAAAATCTTTTTAGTCACGTTTTCTGCGCTTAGTAGTGTTTAATTAGTTAGTTATAGTAGCAATTTTATACTTTTTACCTTTTTATTGTTATATTTTATATACTTTTTTTTTATTGTAATGTCTTTCGTAATTCAGCCTATGGCTGCAAGGTATTAAGACAATAAAGCATCTATCTATCTATCTATCTATCTATCTATCTATCTATCTATCTATCTATCTAATGCCCCGAACACATCATTCAAACACATCATTCAACTGCCCGATTTTGAAGGCGTTGAAGTTTTTCAGAAAGGCCTTTGTTATACAGCTTCCCTACACCACCACCACATTACAATAATCAAAGTGAGGCTGAACACGGCTGAACGTTGACCAAAACATTAAATGGGATAAGATGCTGCATTTGTTTAATTGCATCGATGGCAGAAGCAATCTTTTTACAAACATTGTCAATATGGCACTCCCAATTTAAGGTCTGATCGATGGGGACTTTCTGGCGATTGCGATAATTTCTGCCTTGACGCAATAAGGATAAACACGGTTTTTGTTAAATTCAGCGTATTTTTGATAGCTGATAACCATGTGTACAACGTTATTTAAGTCATAATTAAATTGACTGGAGGCAATCATTTATATGCGTAACGTCTGAACTAGCAAACGTAAAGCTGGTATCATCGGCGTACATCCTTTTTGTTTATGGATACATTAGGCAATTTGGTAAGTCGTAATATAACAGCGCTTTTCAAAAACACGCGACGAACTCTGAAGTTCAAAAGCTGCCTTCACAAATGCGTTTTTTGCTGCCGTCAATCATAATTACGATCACAAGCAACGAACTTTGAAACAGAGAAACACACAAAACGGATCCGCAAAATCCGCAAATCACAAACCATGACCTTTTGAATGCATTCAAGTATACTTCTGTTTCTGTCCTCTAAGAAGATTGACCCCAGCGAAAAACGCAAATGTCAGTTGGCATTTGAACTCCAGAACTGGCGTGTTTTTAAAAAGTACAATAATATATAACAAAAACAAAAGAGGTCCCAAAATTGTTCCATGAGGAACACCGTATCTAAACAATTTCGGCGTTGACTTACAGGAGTTGATGTGACAAGTTTGATTTCGCTTATCTAAGTAAGAAGTAAACCATTTATAACTGGACCGACAAATCCCATAGTATTGTTATTTCCTTAACAAAATATCATGTTCTACTGTATTAAAGGACTTAGACGATGACGTTAACAGAGCCACGATCACTGTTAATGGCCCAACAATCAGTAGCCTCAAGAAGTACCGTAAGTGTGGAATGCAAGGAAGGAAAATCCGATATGATGACTAGTAACAAAGCTATTCTTTGTTAGATACTGATATACCTGGTCGTAAATAATCCGTTCAAAAACTTTTGCCACAGCTGGAATTACCGATACTGGTCGGGAATTTTCCGGATCAGAACGCTTCCTGCAATTTTTATTCAATGGCTTTCCACTGAAGGCAAAGTCGTTTAGAAATACTGCAATCAAATCCCCCTCCCCCTCGTATCACGATGGGAGTATGAATTTGCGTGTACATCCGAGAGTTAAGACGAACACTTTCAAACTTGGCAATTTTACTAAAATTAAGGCTTTCAAGTGGTGTCGACGTTTCCTAACTTGGCCGGGTCAAAATTTAAAATAAAAAACCGTGTGAAAAGGCCTATTAGCCTGGGACTGGGCTCTTGAGAAAGAAAACGAGAGCAAAGAAAAAAGCAAACCGCCTGGGGACGAAGCAGGGGAAGTGGTGCTGCCCTTTGCCCATCTCCAATCTCCAATCCCTCGCTCGGCTCGCACCGCTAGCCTACATCCCGGACCAGCCTAGTTTCAGTCTCATCATTGTTCAGGCAAGCCTCGTCGAAAGAAAGAGAGAGCAGTATTGTCTGGTCTGACTTAGAGGTCGTACCGTAACAAATCACTGACTGATACCCTGCGAGCAAGTCAGCTCCATTTGTGGAAGTCGCGAGAAGTCACGCGAGAGCAGCACGCGAAAGGAGAGGCGAGTGCGAGGGGCGGGAAAGAAAGGTAGAGTCGCAAGAATCACGCAACATGTAAAAAGCAAGACCTTCGAGCGAGGTTACTGGACTGGCTTCAGGTGCTTTATCGATCTTTCAGTGTCTTTGGGGCTAATCCGAATAATATAATTTTGGCCGATTCATCAGTGCCTGTCTCCTCAGTGCTTTCTGATACTGCGTGGAACTTTCTTGTCAAAATTGATTCAAAATTCATTCTTCACGTGACTCAGTCCGTAAACTTGATTGATTAGGTCATGACTCTTGAACCTAATGGCCTAAACTGCCGTGACGAATTATTGAAATCCATATCCTTATAAGACCTATAAGTTTTTGTTTTCTCATGTTGTACGTCATTTTCGCCTATACCTTTAAAACAATTTTTTTGGGGGGACATTACATCGGTAAGCCTGAAGAAGGCTGGTATGGCGAGCCGAAATATTACGTTATGAAAAGGCAATATACGCTGTTATGATCACCTTTTCACCTTTTTGGTAATTTTCTTGACATTTGCCGGTCTCTCGGCAGTTTATTCTTTTGCTCTGTTTCTATAGCCGCCTTTGTCACATTATCACCGTCGTGTCGCTCCACCTAGTCCTTTCAGTTTCATTTTTTTCTTCCATCTTGGATTTAGCAGGGGGCTCTCAGTGCAGAAGTATGCACTGAGGGTGGCGGAGCCACTGGTTTGTTACAAATTAAGCCGAGTGGCTCTGGGGACGAGAGTGTCGCACTTTGTAATTAAATTGTCACACTTTGTTACACCTGTCCCAGTTCAGCCATGCCTCGGTGACAGGACGCAGGATTTCTCCGTACATGCTGGTAATAAATATTTACCAAAAGTCAAAAATCCCTTTGGGTTGAACCGGCCAGGTGATTAGTCTGCTACACAGCCGTTTTTAGTGTCGTCACGCAATGCTCCTCCCCACAAACGGCTGCTGAAAACCGAACTACATTCCTTTCCCTTTGTGTTTGTGGTATAACGAACAAGCCAATCATGTACAAGAAGTTTGACAATACGTGAGCCGCGAGGCGCTAGGAAGCGAGCACGCTTCTCAGTTTTCGACAAATCAATCAATCGTCGCTGAATTTAGACGGGCTTTGTGTTTTCAAGCAACGAAAAGGTTAATTTGCAAAAAAGTTTGTTTTAAGCGGTCAAGAAAGTTCCAAGTGAAAAAAAGGTTTGATAGGCGCCTAGAAGACTTTTACCAGGATCGGTTGGTTCTTCATCTAACGTGCATATGTACAGATATGTAATGAAGAATTTAAATGTGCCGGATGTGCTCATTGTGTTCCTGGGAATACTAAACTCTCAAGGGTACTGATTCAAAAAGCAATCTTTTAAATTATCGATAAGCGATTTCCCGAACTATACCTGGCAACTTTATGAGCACATCCATGTTGTGCATCGCAATTTGCTCGACTTGCTTGCTGCTACTGTTATCTCCTAAATTTTAAATAAGACTCGACTACGACAACGCTACTCTAGTTAATTGCTTGTTTTCACGCGACGTTTTGATTATTCTGTCATTCACACATGGGGCACCGATAAAAGCAAAGCTGTAATTGGAGGAGTCACAGTACAGTAAACGTGGCGCGAACACCTTCCAGAAAATGGGAGCTGAATTATAATTTGCTAATCACGGGAAAGGAATGTAGTTCGGTTTTCAGCAGCCTTTAGTGGGGAGGAGCGTTGCGTGACGACACTAAAAACGGCTGTGTAGCAGACTACCAGGTGATAAGATTTATACTTAGGGACGGACCATTAGAAAACTTATTGGGGGGGCGGGCGAAGTACAAAAAAAAAATTCGCGCAAGGGAAAATTAAATGAAAAAAAATTCTTGCAAGCCAATTAACCCCTAAGAAAGATTCATGCAAGGGCCTGAAAAAAATTCATACAAGGAATTTGGTAACGAAAAAAAATTCCTGCAGGTCGAAAATTCCCCTCCCCCCCATAACTTTTCTAATGGTCCGTCCCTTAGCAAAAAAAAACACACGCAATAATAAATGGCGGGAAAATCGAGGAATGGGGGTAACAAGAAAAGGACTGGGCGCTAGCGCCTGGCACTTCAGTTCACTGTTGTCGATCAAAAAAGTTTATCATCCAACGGCCATGTGAAAATGAGATTTTGCATCGCTCTCCTGTGCATATTAGTAGCGTTGTTGGCTATAATTGTGGGTAGAGTTTACCAGAGGTTGGTTAATGTACCCGTTCCAGATGATTTCCCGGAGAATTCAACCTGGCAGTTTAAGTTAGTGGGGTTCAGTTTTGGCTTAGCCAAAGATGTGGTAAGTTTAATCCTAATAAGAGTTGTGTAAGCTAAATTTCTGTTTGTATGGACAAAACATCTCTCCGTTAGGCGAGCGGGAAAATATTACTAAATCAGTAACTATGTTGTTGAAGTAGTCTGTGATGGTACGCATTCAAGTTTAGGAGTTACCTGTATGTCATTTTGCTTGGAACGAACTTATAGTGGAGCTGCATAAGTATTTCGTGAATATTACCGGTCTATAAGCCAAGAACGCGAAACTATTTACATCTCGACTGAATCAACTTGTATCGAAAGGACCGGCAAGCTCCCACACTACGTAAATAGGTCTGCATGGGTCTATCCTTGTACACAGGCCCAGGTTTGTTACTAGACAACAGATCTTTAGATAAAGCTTCAGTAATTTTGGCTGGTTAAAGGTCTGAAAGAAATGTTTGCGCTTAAAGATCTCTACAAAATAGTGTATAGTCTTAATTTATAAATGTTCTCACGTAGAGATCTTTATATTTATGCTTGTAGCCGTGGATGACTGAAAAAATATCAATATAACGGTTTACGGGTACTAGCAAAGTTTTCGTCAATCTTATTATTCTATAGCTACATGTAGATTCTTTGGAGTTTTCATCAGTTGTGGATTGGCAAAGCAGAAAGGCATATGCACATATCAGTGACATAGTGTAAAATTCCGAAAATAAGCCCCTCCATGTATAAGCCCCTCCAAATATAAGCCCCCTAAACTTAAACTGCAAAAACCCTCCGTTAAATCGTCCCTCCAAATATAAGCCCCCCGGGGGCTTGTACGAGGAAATTGCACTCAAATACAAAGTAAAACAAAGCAAAAACGGTAAATTTCCCTCCAACTATAAGGCTAGCCCAATCGATTTTGAGATGCAAATTTCCCTCCGTAGATAAGCCCCATCCAAAAATTAACCCCTCAAAAAGAGCCTTTGAATAATATAAGCCCCAGGGCTTATTTTCGGAATTTTACAGTAGTACAAGTGTGCAAGAAATATGGTCATAGTCTAGACCACCTCTTCCATAGTCTGATTATACTTCTTGTTTGGGGGTGTTGCAAGTTATGATAAGTATCTTTCTAAAATTGATAAGTTTCAGAAGAGATCAGTTCATTTTGGCTTTCTCAAGGAGGCCACTCCTATTTTTAGTTCTCTAGAGGCCTCAGATGATAAGTTGTGGAAGAACGTCACAAATTCTGCTGAGCGCCCTTTGGTGGATCTCCTTCTACCCTGTAAAACAAAATTACTACGTAAGGAATTGTGGTCACTCCTTTGTACTTCATCAAATTAGGACTGAGCGTTTTAAGTACTGTTTTATTAATAGGTGTCCTTTTAATTTAACTATTGTAATTGTCAACTGTAATCCGGAATGTTTGTTTTTGGAATCAATAAATAGCTTATTTATTTTCTATTTATTTATCCTGACCTTGAATTAAGAACTGCTTAGTAATCTAACCTGTGTCACAGATGAATTCTAACCCTGACTAGTAATGCCTGTGAAGCAGTGCTGAGATCCTTTTTCTCGGCCCCCAGTGGACTCCACGTACCACTAAGTGGAAGTGCATTTCCAATTTCCCTCCAACTTGATTAGTCAATCAAACAATGTTTTTTTTAACAGGCCAACCAAGGCACATATTTTGTACTTAATTCCTGGTACATGGTGGGGGGCTAAGTAGAAGGATTTCAGCGCTGGCTCACATGGAAACATGAACAGAGATTATAAAGATTCCTCTGTGGCACAAGCTAGGGCTTTATGGTATACACTGTATCTCTAGGTTTTTATAACCCTACCACATGTGGTTTTGGAACTATGGTGCAGCATGGTTCCCGCAGGCCCTTCCTATAAATCCTCCACCAGTCTTCCTTTTAAAAAGTTGAGAAAAAATAACCGAACAGCAGCTTTAATGACTGTAATAAGTGCAAAGAAAAGAGACGTCTTATCTTTCTTTTTTCAGGGTTACCTTGCTACACTTCTTGGAATAAGTGATAACTATTACTCAAATATGGCCTCTTTACTTTCATTTACGAGTCGTTTTTACAAGAATGATAGTTACGCTGAGTTTTTGGAGGTCAATGACACTGAGTTATTTGGTGTTGGTGTGAGAATATACAAGCCTGTGAATAAAACAAACAAGCATACAGGAAATGAATCTAATAAACAAGATTTGTTACCAGGTTTAATTTATTTTCATGGTGGAGGATGGACTTGGGGAAGTTTAGGTGAGACCTATTTCTTTGTATGTACATATAGGATATTACATGGCCGCGCGGAGATACGAAATTTCTCTTCGAGTGTTGAAAAATATCTCACGAGTGAAATCGCACAGCGAACGAGTGAAATATTTTTTTCAACACAAGAAGAGAAATTTCATATCTCCAAGCGACCATGTAATATTCTATTTATTATATAAACACCAATGAAATGCCAAACCATTCTGAAAGGTGTGGTTTATTATGAAGCCATAGCAATGGTGATATTTTCACATATGAAGATAACATGTTATTTTCACATGTGAAGATATCAAGTTTTCATGCAAAATCTCACTTGGTATTTCATTGGTATTTATATAATAAATGTATTTATCTCTTATCCTGTCTCCAGAGGTTGATGCATTTTCAGAATACCTCGAATGAGATAGCCTTTACATCTTGCACTTCATTGTCACAGCCTTGACATCTGTGATTTGCTGCTTGTTTTTCATAGATTTTCAATGAAAAAAGTTTTGGCACCTACTCAGTGTACATAAAAATTAGGTTTGTTGCAGAATAAATACATGTATTATTAAGGTATGAGAAATTTACTTGTGTGGCACATACACATGTGCACATTTAGTCTCTTCTCGCCTCCCACCTCTACTGCCATCTGCAGGTTGTGATGAATGGCTGTTTGGACTTGTTGGTTAAGGTTGCTAATAATTTGTCTGTGTTTTTATGTATGAGTTGGATCAAAAATGCAATAATAAATTATGGTAGATTTTAATCCTTAATGCCCGAAGTGTTTTCCTTGTCATTATATTCTGCTTTTAATTCTCTCTTTATGAAAGGAAATTTCCCTTCACAGTAGTAAGTATTTTGACAGTGATGATCATTGATAATGTATGCCATTCAAGGCAACATGAAATGTTATCTCTTTGCTGTAGAAGGCAAGCACATGAGAAAGAAAAAAAATATAAAGTTGATAATAATATTAAACCCATATTCCTTAGTAAAGCCGTGATGGTATCTTTTATTTACTTTTTATTCCAGATGGTTATGATGATTTCTGCAGCCGACTGGCTGTCTCCGCCCAAATCATTGTTGTGAGTGCAAAGTAAGTAACACTATTGACTAAGTTGGCAAGTTAAATCCATTCAACAACTAGGTAGAACTTTCTGTAAATGAGCTAATTTTTTAAATTCAGTACACATAAGGTGTTTACATTTAACAATAATTGATCAATCTGTCAGTTTTACTTTGGTCAATATGGAAAATACTGAGAAAAATGGTGTACAATAGGTACACTCGTAATTTCTCAAGCTTCGTGATGAAAAAGGACAAGAAACTGACATTATAAAAGCAAAATGAACTAGCAGGCCGTGACACAACCCCTTTAAACTTCAGAAAAACATGAAAGCTGCATCCTTGTAGAGAATATCCCTACCACGTTCTTATGTCCTCACAAATCTTCTTTTCAATTTCTGTAGTTACAGGCAAGCTCCTCAATACATTTACCCCACTCAGTTCAACGATTGCTACAATGTCGCAGTAGGTGTCCTTAATACAGGAGTAAAACATGGTGTAGATGTTTCACGTGTTATGATTGTTGGTGATAGTGCTGGTGGGAATCTAGCTGCAGCAGTATCTCATTATCTTGCAACAGTATCTGAAATGCACTGTAAAACACAGTATTTAAAAGCCCAGGTATGATAAGTTTGAGGTCAACTATATAATTCATTATTGAAAAACAGGGTGCAAAGAAAATCATTTTTACAACTTGCCATTTGGGCAAGCTGCAGCCAGACGTCATGTCAACTAGCCCCAAAAACTTTTTGACTGGCAGAATTGATTTCACAGTTCTTCTGTTATTTGAATTCCTCAAAAGACATCACTTGCCCATCGGGCAGGTTAACAGAATTCACTAGCCCGAGAGCAAAATCCACTAGCCCCGGGCTATTGGACACTAGTTTCTTTGCACACTGAAAAATTGATTTATTTTTTTAGTTACCTTTACTAGTTAAGGTAGGAACACCCCATGGGAGAGGGGGTACTTCCATAAATTTAGGTGTATGCAACTAAGGTTTTTAAACCCTGGCCCTAGTTTAGTATTTAAAGACGAACCAAGTGAAAATTGGTACCCTTTGTAAGGCCCAAACGTGGAATATAATACCCAATTCAAGGGTATAGAAACAAAAACGGAGAATTTAATGGAAACACACTTTCTCCTGTAGCTGGGTATTTCCGCACTTGAGTTTTAGCTGATATAATAATGGGTCCTTATCTTAATATGAGCATACCTGGAAGAGAGTGCTGACATAGGGCAAAAATGTTACCCTATTTTTTAAGGATGGAGACCCTCAAAAACCATAGCTATAAGGCGGTACATACGGTGATACCTATCTAGGTCATATTAATTTTGGGAGTTCCCCCCCCCTCCACCCCACCTTGGGACACCAGAACAGCAAAGGTGCTCTGTGAGTACAAATAAATTTTTTTAAAAGACCTTCTCACAATCCATATAACCCTAAATCTTTTAGGTCTCAAGGGTGACCAAAATCAATTTTTCCAAACGATATCCATACATTGTCAAGAGATCAGGTTATGAGAAGTAATGAAATGATCACCAAAGAGAAAATGCCTTGATCGTTTATTAAATTCCCTCGACACATTCTCTAAGGAAATGTATGGAGATCAGTTTGGAGAATTTGTATGTGGATATTGGGGTTTAAAGGGTTAAACACTACTGAGGTCTGTGTTCCCTTCAAAATGATAAGATAGGATAAAGCAGACAATGCGTAATCATCTGAACTGAGTCAAGTTTTTAATCACAGCCAGCAGGGCTGTCAATTAAGGGCAGGGTGCTGGGGTTTGCCCAGGCTTGACTGCTATGAGCATGACTGGAACAAATCAAATTAACACTGCTGTGAGTTTTAGCTTTCGAAAGCTGATTCAGATGTTCTCATTAAAAATACTAAAAAAAATGACAGGGCGTTTTTTTTTTTCAACAAACTGATGGTTTGTTAGGGAGACCAGTTTAATAAGCTTGAATTTGATATAGGGTTGTAAGCATCTGCAGTTTAACAGGAATGTGCTACTGAACATTACTTTCCCTTGAGACAACCCCAAAGGTATCCGGTAACCTAAGTTTTCTTTTCTTTTATGTGTGACTGTTCAGATATACACTGTAGATATTAGGAGTATGTCTAAATGTCGCGGGTCGCGACTCGCGGGTAGAGGTCGCGGGTGCGGGTGCGGGTGCGGGTGCGGGTAAAGGTCGCGGGTAAACATAAATCACCAAATTTAATATTAAATTATCAATAAAATAAAGGAAAATTTGATTATGTTTCAAAGAAGATTTGCAATACTTTTTTTTTTTGGTCCACTGGTCCTAACGAGGAAGTCTAGTTATTTAAAGCTAACTAAGGACGATACAAAGGAAAAAGTCACTAAAGAAAAATCCACATGCTTAAAACTACATTGGCTAGTTAAATTTGCACCAAGTAACCGAGATACCTGCGTTTGGGATTTGTAAGGGAGGAGGTTCAAGTTTTGATAGAAAAAAGAAAAGTATTTCGGGTTCACGTTCTCTCCAAAGCTTGAATTTAACTTGAAGTAGTCATTTTATGTAGCTGTTTTGCAGACTGCATGACTTTTTCAAAAGTCAATAGTTGGCCCTTTGCTGACCTCTATATTACCT